GGGGACAAAACTCCTAAAAGGTATATAAAATATTGGGTCGGATATATAAATCTATTAGACTTTTTTTTCTCTTATAATCTTAATTGTTCACATTATAAATAGAGACAACATCACTTGTATTTGCAACTATCACTTGAAAAAACTTAATAAAAAATCCTAATATAATTATGAAGGTCAAGGAGGTAGTGTCTCTTACGGGAGTTTAGGGATGAAACTCCCGAAAGGCATATAGAATATTGAATCGGATATATAAATATGTTATACTTTTTTCTTCTTCTTATAATCTTAATTGTCTACATTATAAATAGAATATCACTTATATCTATAGTCGTCACTTGACGTAACTTAATAAAAAATCTTAATACGGTTATGGAGTATGCACCATTATCGAACCATGTAAAATTTTTATATTATATATATGATTGTTCTTGTTTTTCTACTTTATTCTTTTGCTTAATTCGTTTCCTAATATTTGAAATAATAGGAGTGTCCATATATAATTTTTACTATGCTTTTTACTATATTGTTTTGTATATGTGGTTATTATTTGAGCAATTTTTTACTTTTCAAATATATATTGCATTTTTATTGTGCTTAAAATGCATGTTTAAGATATTTTTGAAATTATATAGATTATTATATGAACTCGTACTCTCTTATGATCATGTTTCCGGACTATATAGCTATTGTTTTGCTATTTTTAAGAAGTTGAGATATTTTATCTCAAAATTAATGTTATTTAAAGACAATTTTAACATATATGATAATTTGTTGAAATATGTTACATATTGAGATAAAATTGCATGATTCATATACATGAAATATTTGATAAAGTGGTTGTTTGTAGTTTTTTTTTTTTAACAAAAAAGGAACGACTAAAATTACAGATGAATAATAATTATGATAACAACAATGTGGACAATGTTATTAATTAAAGTATTAAATTTGTGATTAAGGAGCTTTGCTCCCTTCTTTTAATTTATTATTTTTAAATTTTGAGATTAGCATAAAAAATAATTTATTAAATTCTTCTGATCGCATTAAATTGATATAACAGGTGTGCTATTAAAATCATTGAAGAAAGAACCTCTTCTCTATTTATGAGCAAACTATTTTGAAAATTCCCTTAGCATCAAATACAAAAGAAAAGAAGTTCATTAATCCAATAATAAATTAAATAGTATCTTGGTCCTTCTAAAAAACAAAAAAATTATCTTCCATATTGTTTCACATTCTATAACCTACAAAGTAGAACACTCACTTTTATATTACTATAGATATAGATTAAAAAAAATTAATATGTAACATAAAACTATAGCTCGATTGTATATAGTCTAGAAGATGTAATGTTAAGATCGGTTGTGGAAGGAATTTTCTTTTCGAAAATAATGTTACCATAGCTAAATTAATTTTTGAAGATTTAAATCTACTCTTGTAGCTAGCTCCAATAAATAAAATAAAATAAAAAAAAAAAAAAAAAAAAATTACTAATGAGTTAAATAATGAATCCTAAAATGCTAACATATAGGTCCCTTGTATCTATTTTTGCACGCACAAGACAATCTCAAACTTTTCAAAACTAACTTGCTTTAAATAGTAGCATATAGCACATGCAAAATATATATATATATCATGCTTTATGTCTTAAAGTTGCAATGATTTTTTTTTTAATGTATTGTTCCTTTTTTTCCCCAAAAGATTCAGAATGGTCCCTCTCAATTGAAAAAACAAACATCAAGAGATGTTTCATGGTTGTTTTTAACATTTTACATTTGGGCCCAATTTATCATGGAATGCTTATTGTATGTTTAACCTATTAATTTTATCAAATATAACATTCATGATCTATAAAATGAGGATTATATTTATAAGATTTCTTTTTTCAATTATGTTTATATTTAAAAATATTTCTTTATCGTAAATATTTTTATATAGTCAAAATTAACTTATATTATAATACAAAAACAAATTTCTTTATGAACTCAATTAACATTTTAAAAATTTTCTTTTATGAAGTGTGAAAAGTTATGGAATTTGTTGTAAAATGAGAACCTAAATTTTATCCCCGATAATTGCCATGAAGTGTGAGGATATCCTCGAAGGCTTAGTTGCATGCTTAAACTGACTGCTGAAATTTGAAAATAAGTTTAATCAAAATGATTTACTTAAATTCAAATGCTTCTTGGCTTAAAGCCATCAAAATGATTACTCAAATTCAGTTGGTAAGTAGGTTTAATTATACAAATATAGTTTGCAAGAAAAATATTTTGGCTATTATATCAGTTCAATATAGAAAGTCCGTCTAAATGAAATCCAAAAAAAAAAAAAAAAAAAAAGACGTTAAAATACTCTAATTATTAAAAAATAGAGTTAACGGCTTAATCTATCCTTTTATATTAATGTAATTTTCTAATATCTCCTTATATCCCTAATTAAGTCAACTTTATTGTTACATATATATTAAGTTTCAATCTATCATTTTATCAAAAAATTATAAATCAAATTACTAAAATTATTCATGTGACTTGAAGATGATTAAATTTTATTTTCAAAATACTAATTCTAAAATTTTAATATGAAAATCTTATCAAAAGAATAGATTAGACACTTAACATATATTTAAAAATAAAATTGATTCAATTAAAAAATAAAAATAGATTGAAAAATGATTATAATATATAATAACATATTAAGTTATTAATGCTCTAATCTTAGATAATGAGAATGATTCAAGTAATTAATCAAATAGCTTGGGCAGAAAGGCCAACAAAAACATACTAAGGCAGACAACATCTACCTTCTGTTTTCACTTTTCGTAATAAGTTGAATAGAAATTTTGGCTCCTAGAATGCAGCAATGACAAACGGCCTAAGTCCTCTGGCCAACAGGAAAGTTGTGTCATTTGTGTTTTAAATTAATGCTCTTGCCATTTCAATTTCAAATTCCAAAATATTCCAAAGCAATTAATATTCTCATTGGTTGTTGGAGTATAATAATTCAACCATTTTCATTTTTCAGGCCAAACTAATAATGGAAGAAAAATAAGGCAGACTTTGCTAGCTTTTTATTTTTTTATTTGTAACTCACATACACTCAAAGCTACTAACTCAACTAGTCTCGTTAAAATTTGAATTTATGACCTTTATGCGATAAACTACTATCATTAGGCTATAAGCTCTTTAGTTAGATTTTTCTTACTTCACTCCATATAAAAAGGAAGTTTTACATTTTACTTGTGTAAGAAAAGACCGGAGAGATGCTCCCCCCAAATTATCTCCCCACTTGAGAGTCTGAAAACTTGATAACTCAGATCGATCTAGATCGAAGCACCAAAAAAGTTTGGTTAAGAGATAAAGATACGAGTCAAGAACTCTTTACAGATCTTTCACCTCCAAAAGGTAGATTGAATTTCAAAAAGACAATGACTGATGGGAAGGAGATTGATCAGCCACAAACCTTCGAATAGCAATCTCTTGCAAACATTGTGGTTGATGAGAGAGACATACGAATTGAGGAAAAAGACCATGGCTGGTCTATTGCACTATCTGAACCCTTTAAGGAATGCCTCAACAAACCATGAGAGCTTTTCATAGTGGTCAAGGTTCTAGGCCGAAGCGTGGGGTACAAAGCTTTATGTATTCGACTTAAAACCATTTGGAATGTTGCTGAGCCTTTTAAAAATAATCAACATAGAAAATGATTTTTTTTAATAAAATTAAATAGTTGAGATTGGATTTCATCCAAAACGTAAACCTTATGGTGGGTAGTATCTTCTCAAGCTTATATATTAATCATTTTTAGTTTAATTATTTAATATGGGATATGTGCTCTAACACTCCTCCTCACTTGTATCCTATCTTTTGGGTTTTGTCAAGTAGCTTGGACTTCGGGATTTTTACTAGACCGTTAAGCCTTTTTAAAGCTCGATACCATATCAAAGGATCATCTCAGCTAAAAGCTTAAACTATTAGGTGAGGCCTCGGGATATGATCCATATTATTTTTTAACACAGCCCCTCAAGTGAAAACCATTTGAGCTTGACACTTGCACGAGCCCCTACTACCTTGTGCTTAATTAATTAGAAGAGAAAATGGGAGTGGTAGGATATGAACTCGTGATCATTTGATCATCAATGCTCTAATACCATATCAAATGATCATCTCACTCAAAAACTTAAGTTGTTAGGTGAGACCCTAGTATATAATTTATATTATTTTTTTAAGGGAGAGTGTTGGGGCACATATCCCACAATGAATAATTAAATCAAAGATGATTAATATATAAGATTGATAAGAGACCACCCATCACAAGGCTTAAGTTTTTTAAATAAAACTCAATCTCAACTATTTAATTCTATATGGTATCGAGCCTCAAAGAGGGGGCCACCTGCTACAAGGCTTAAATCTTTAGATAGAATTTAATCTCAACTATTCAATTCTATATTTTTTAGTCCAGTTTTCGATCCATACCGATTATTCACATGCTTTAGAAGCGAGCTCTTAGGCAATTCATGGACAGTGTTTAACTATCCAACCATGGGATCACAATTTTAAAGCCTTCGAAAGTAGGATCAAATGCGTAGTTGTATGGGTTAGATTCCTGAATTTACCATTGGATTGGTACCATCCATATATTCTAAGGGCAATGGGGAACATGATTGGCAATACCATTAAAGTTGGCTATAATACACAAACCACTATGGGGGTTAAATTTGCAAGAGTGGCCATTGATATTGATTTGGAAACACTTGTCAAGAACTCTGTTTTGATAAATGGTGTGGTGCAAAAGGTAACTTGTGAAGGATGGCCACAAGTATGCTATACTTGTGGAGGAGTGGGACACAATAACTTGTTTTGTCCTTTGAAACATTTGATGAACAATAACAATGAGGGAAACACCACCGGAGAAGACACATTTAATATCGAAGATAATATCCAAGATATTGAATCCTCTTGATTGAATGCTAAAAGTAAGATTTATGGCCCCTAGTTAATGCATAAATGGCTTCCAAGCATAGATCACGTAAGGAAGATAATGGTGGAAGCAAGTCATTGATTGTTGCTAAAAATAGCTCTATTAATAGCTCACACTTTGCAGTTTTAAGTGAACAAGGGACTTGGGTGGCTAGGGCATCACAAGCTGAAACTAGTAGCACGCAGGCCAATCTCTTGTGTCCCAACCAAGCTCAATTCGCTTCACTCAAAGCCAAACCAAACAGAACTAAGGCTCTTCCATCTACTATGACTCAGCTCAAAAATAAGGGTCCAGATGTTACCAACTGCTGCAACAAAGTATCTATTGACAAATAAGTTATTGTCTAGAAAGATGACACTAGAGGCATGAAGGCTAAAACTCAAACAAATAGGCAAACATGTGAAGAAAATAGACACACTACAATGACGGTCATTGACAGCACTGATGAACTGCCAATAATTGAGCTAGCAGAGATAGATCAGATTTTCGAATTATGTGATTCCATTAATGTTGATGATAACACAGAGGAGATTGGGATTGTGAAGTCAGGGAAGGATACTGATATTCCAGTTAGCATTGATGAACCACCCGACTTACTGGTCACGATTAAGAAGGGGGAAAAAAAGAGATGGCCAAAACTACAATTCCTCTTCACAGAGAAACCTATAAAGTTTCTCATTCTAACCATAACAAGAATGCCAAGATACAGTAGGTTATGCTGGTGTTTCTGAAGAGGATGGCCTATTTTACGACTCTATTGCTACAGAACTAGATGGAAGGACCGAGACTGCCATTCCTCACCTCCCGCAGCTCTAATTTGTTCCACTCCTCCTATTTTATTATTTTTTATGAATATTATATTTTGGAATTCAAGGGCCTCGACGTAGATAGTTTAGAGCTATTTGTGGTGATTTAATTAAAAGGCATACACCCAAAATACTAGCTATTTTTTAGCCTAGAATAAGTGGTGCACAAGCAACTTCAGTAGTTAAACGATTTGGGTTTCCGCTCACATAGAATTGAAGCGCATGGGTTCTCTAGGGGTATTTGGCTTTTTTGGAATGATATACATGTTTCAATTGAAGTCCTTGTAAATAAAAATCAATTTATGCATACTAGAGAGCACTATGCTAATATGCACTTCCTCTTTTTGGTAATTTATGCTCACTCTAAAGGGCACATCCGCACCAGACTTTTGCAAGAATTATGAACTTTTGCCACTCAGGTGACTGACCCATGGCTGTTGGGTGGTGAATTTAATACAATGCTGTTTCAAATAGAGAAGAGAAAGGGCAAGGTTTCAATGTATATAATAGCTATGCCTTTTCTTCTTGCTTGAATGATTGTGGGTTGTTGGATTTAGGGTTTAGATGACCTTTGTACACATGGCAACAAAGGTACATACAGAAACGTATTGATCGAGTTGTTTGCAACACTGATCGGTAGCTCAATTTTCCTAATGCAATGGTGTGCCATCTCTTAATAATCAAGTCTTATCATAGACCCCTCCTTTTACAGCTTGACAACACTACTTTGGCAACATGAAATAATAAAAATTTTAGATTCCAAGATATGTGGTTAACGAGTCTTGAATTTAGAGATTTTGTTAAAGAAGCTTGGAACCCTAGTTCACCATTTACTGTAACCAAAAGAGGGGTTTCTTGATGCTGTCAAAAGATGGAACATTAAGTCTTTTAGAAATACATTCCAAATAAAAAGATTTATCTTTGTTTGGTTAAGGGTGAGTAGAACAGATTTCACACCAACATTCAAGCCTTTCCTTGCCCATTTGGAACAACAACTTAAGAAGGAATATGAAACTATTCCTCGACATGAAGAACTCTATTAGTTCCAAAAACCAAGGTATGAGTGGTTGGCCTATGATGACCAAAATACAAAGTACTATCACACTATGACTATGGTAAAAAAGAGGTCGATAAGGGTTGGTAGATTGAGGGATGATAATGGTATTTAGCATAGTGATAACAATCAAATGTGTTTCCTTATTTTTAAATCCTATAAGGATCTATTTAGAGAAAAGGTGGCTGCTGTCAATGAACCCTTATCGAATGGAGCTTTCCCTTACATTATGTTTGATCTTTTGCAATCCTTGTTTGAACTTATTTTGGATTCAAAAATTAAGGAAGCCCATTTTGGTATGGAACCTTATTTCCAACCCATTGGCCTTTGCAATGTCTCCTACAAAGTCCTTATAAAAGTTATTGTCAACAAATAAAGCTAATTCTCCCTCTATCATTACACACACTTAAATAAGCTTCATCTTGAGATAAAAAATAACTGATAACATTATTATAGCTCAAGAAATTATCCACTCCATGTGCAAGAAAAAGGCAAGAAAAGCTGGATGGCAATTAATATTGCCTTGAAAAAGCCTATGACAGGCTTAAGTGGGATTTTGTTATGGACTCTTTATTTGATATTGGGTTACGTCATTCTTTGTTCTTGATCATAATGAAATGTCTATCTTCAATAGAGCTAAAAATTACATTCAATGGACTAACTACAGAGGGGTTCTAACCATCTAAGGGTGTTAGACAATGTAATCCTTTATCCCTTTACCTATTTGTGTTTTGTATGAAGCGTCTGAGTCACCTAATCTATACAACAGTATAGGATAACAAATGGAAACTGATCTATCTCAGTAAAGATGGCCCTCCCATTACACATATGTTCTTTGCTAATAATCGGATTCTTTATGCAAAGATGGATCGTGAATATTTAAATGCCATCCTTGCAACTCTTGACAAATTTTGCCTAGTTTCAGTTCAAAAATTAAATGTTTCCAAGACAAGATTATTTTGCAGTCACAGTGTCCCTAAAAGCAAAGCCAAACTTCTTAGACAACAATTCGACATTTTTTAACAGACGACCTGAGGTGGTATTTAGGTGTTCCTTTGCGCCATAACCATGTCAATAAAGCTACATATGAACACATGGTTGATAAAGTTTGCCAAAGTCTATCAGGTTAGAATGCTAAACATCTATCACTTATAGGTAGAATTACGCTTACTCAATCTATTCTGGCAATCATTCCTATTTATATCTTACAAACCATCAAGTTACTTACAGCCATTACTAATGCAATTGAGAGACTCTGTAGGGACTTGTTTGTGGCAGTTTGAAAAATCATCGTAAACTTCATCTGGTCTCTTGGGAGAGTGTGTGTGAGCCAAAGCAAACATAAGGTCTTGGTTTGCAAAAGCCATCTATGGTGAACAATGCCTTACTCATGAACATGGGGTGGGAAATTATCTCAAACAATTCTTCTTTCTGGGTGAAGGTTGTATGCAGCAAATACAAGATCAAACTTGTACCAACACCCCTCTTTATCTCTTAGGTTGGTTGTTCTAAATTTTGAAGGAGCATTTCTGAAGTATGGAAGGATGTTTGTAGCTGCATTAACTGGTCTTTGGGTAACGATAATAGTATTGGTTTCTAGATAGATGTGTGGGTTCCTAATCAGATAAGACTTGTTTATCATGTATCTAAGCCTATTCCAGCAAGCTAGATGAATGATTCAGTCAAAAAGTATGTCACAAGTGAAGGACAGTGGTAGTGGGATAAGTTTAGCAACTTTCTTCGCACTTTGAGCTACATGAAGATTGCAGGGGTATTGCCTCCAGTAGCAATCCTAGATGAGAACATACCATGTTATGCCCTAACTAGTAATAGGTTGTTTTCTACAAGGTCAGCAGACCATTTTATAAGTTTAGCTTTAAGCATTCCATTAGAGAGATGGAATTTGCTTTAGTAGTAAAGAGGACCTCAATGCATTTTTACTTTTCTGTGATTAACTGTCCATGGCCAGCTTTTCACCAACATGTAAAGAGTAAGGAGGGACCTAGTTGCTGAGCCTTTTTGTTCATACTGTCAACACAGTCCAGAGACGATCCTCTATATTCTACGTGATTATCCTATTGCAGCTAAGATTTGGCAAGAGGTTGGGGTAGGCAATATGATTGATTGCTTTTTTTTACACTGGAGCTTAAGGATTGGCTTTGAGTTAATCTGGACAAAACTCATTCCACTTATGCAAACTCAATTTCATAGAGCACTTGGTTGGCGGATTGACTTGTTTCACATGCCTGCTCTCTTTTGAGTGGAGTTTTATACTTTGAGCATGTCCCATTGGAGTGTATTGCCTTCCTCTTGGAGGACTTTTGTGGAGTAACCTCTCTAAAATTATATAACAGACAACTTATTGTTTAGAGCTTTACCTCTCATATTTATCATGATAATAATGATGATGATGATGGAAGAAAGAAAATTAAAATTCCATCCTATATGTCCAATTTTTGTTCCTCCATAGTATATTATTATTTACATTATTTTCGCATCTAACTTTTGCTATTTAAATTAATGGTGGTTTAAAAAATATATCTCTAGTAAATTAATGAAGTTTTCTTTAACTTAAAATGTAAAATAAATGATAAATTTAGTTTTGATTAATGTGAAATGAATTTGAATATATATATATACACTAGCAATTTATTAGGAGCTTAACAAATTTACTTGAGTTGGAAAAAAAATGTTTGTCAGTTTTGGTATTGATGCAAATTAATCCAATGATATTTTTCAATATGAAAGTGTAATTCAACAATTTTCATAATGTTTTCCAACATTATTATTTTATTTTTATTTTTTTTTGTTTCTTAATTTAACGAGTAAAATACGAAAAGGAAAAGAAGAAGAAGAATGAGAGGCGTCAAAGAAATGGGGAAAAAAAGAAGAAGAAGAAGCAAAGACAAGGTGTTGAAGCTCAATAGTTAAAAGAGACTAGAGAGCGGTGTGGCATGAGGTAGCTAGCTAGCCCTAGCTATAAGCAGCAGAAGGTAAGAAGGAAAAAGTGACTAGTAATTGTTTGTTATACATGTGCAATTTTCTTTGCTTGGTCTGAAAAACATTGAATTTTAGGTTCCGTTTGTTTGGTGGAAAATAACTTTCATAAGAAATCAATTCCTAAAAAAGCTATTTGTCCAAGAAATTATTTTTCAAGAAAATATTTTGTATCGTTTGACAATTATATGAAAAAACTGCTGAAAATATATTCTAGTATTTGTTTGATACGGAAAATTAAAATATAAAAATAGCATATGATTGTTACATCAACAAGTTTTGAAAAAACTTAAAAAATGCATATTCACAATTTCAGAATATAAGATATATTTAGAAAAATTTAATAAATTTTCATAAAAACTTACTCTAAAATTTTAATTCAGAAAATAAAATATACTTTTGAAATCATCAAATCAATTCATCAAAATTACTTGAGATAAAATCAAGTCAATATTTACATTTAGTAAAAAAAAATTCTAAGTAATCCTAGCATTGTTATTGTATAACTCAATTGAGAATTTATTTGATAAATCAAGTCAATTTCTAAGAATGAGAGTGGTAAAAAAATGAAAAAAAAAAAAGAACAAGAACAAGAACAAGAAGAAGCAAAGATGAGGTGTTGAAGCTCAATTGTAAAAAGAGACTAGAGAGCGATGTGGCATGAGGTAGCCAGCGAGCCATAGCTATAAGCAGTAGAGGATAAGAAGGAAAAAGTGAATAGTAATTGTTTGTTATACATATGCAGTTTTCTTTGCATGGTCTGGAAAACATTGAATCTTAGGTTGCATTTATTTGGCAGAAAACAACTTCCATAGGAAATCAATTCATAAAGAAGCTATTGTCCAAGAAATTATTTTTTAAGAAAATATTTTTTACCATTTGGCAATACATGAAAAAACTACTAAAAATATATTTCAGCGTTTGTTTGATACGAAATTAAAATATAAAAATAGTATATGATTGTTATATGAACAAGTTTTGAGAAAACTTCAAAAAAGCATATTCACAATTTCATAATATAAGATACATTTAAAAAAATTTAATAAATTTTCATAAAAACTAACTCTAAAATTTTAATTCAAAAAATAAAATATACTTTTTAAACCATCAAATCAATTCATCAAAATTACGTGAGACAAAATCAAGTCAATATTCACATTTAGTTAAAAAAAAAAAAAATCTATGTAATTCTAGCATTGTTATTTTGGTAACACAATTGAGATTTTTTTTTAATATAAATTGAACGATAATTTAATCTAAAAAATAATTTTATAAATTATTACTTATCATTTGTAGATAATTATTCATTTGGTTTCAAAGGATTAATGTTGGAATAATTTGTAACTAATTATTCACTACAATTACCAATAAACTTTTGCAACTAATTAAAATTACAAATTATTGATTTAGTTACAAATGAATAATATTGAAAAAATAATGTATTTATTAATGAATTAGTTAATTTCAAATTAAATTACAAGT